TCTAAATAGCAAGCCATCTGTGCCCAGCAGCCCCCGCCCGAGTCCCCCATCTGGGGCCAGAGAAGAAGCAGGGAAATTGGAGACACATTGGAGATCCAAACGGGCCCGGGAGGCCCTGCCAAGGCTTCCCTCCTTACCAACCTCTCGATCCTGGAGAATCCACTGCACAGAATTGAAGATCTGTACTCCAAGGGCCAGGGCGGGCTGGGAGCTGCGAGCTAGGGAGCTGCCCCGCTGGACAGTGCACTCTTGAGGGAGCAGCTGTGGCTCAACAGGGAAGGGGACAGAGGAGTGGCCCTGACCAGTCAACAGGGCCAGGAAAGAATGAATCCAGGGACGTCCATGCTCGAGGGTCACAGGAACAGGTGGACGGGGCACAGGCTAGTGAGAGGAGCAGGGCACCTGGGGCCAAGTGGACGCCATATGTCCCTCCTGACTCCATAGGTGGTGGCCACTCAGTGCCAGCCCTTCCTCCCCAAGCAGAAAGGCAGATCTGGCTTTGCCAAACCTCCCCTTTTCTTTTTGAAAATGTGACTTTTTTCAATATAAAATCTCCTGATTGATAGAAAACGGCGCCACCTGCTTTGAAAAGCTACGTCTGCCATCCATCCAGATGAGTCCGAGCCTCCCACGGAGCACACGGTGCCGCAGTGACCTCTGAGAGGGACTTGCCTGGAGCGTTGACAGTTACTTTAAATCCAGAAGCTTCCCAAGGGTTCCCTGGTCCTGGGAGTGGTGATGGAGGTGGAGCTTAGTGCAGGGAGATGAGGTCAGTGGGGGCACTGTCCCTGGCCTACAAGAGTGAGCTGGTTCTCAAAAGACTAAGTCATTATAAAAGGGCCAGACTGACCCGCAGATCCCTCTTGGCTTCCTGGGATCACCATGTGATCTCTCTCACACTCACTCCCGTCATGGTGCCACCTGCCAAAATGGGACACAGCCAAAGAGCCCAGACCAGGACTGTTGGCCTCCAAAACTGTGTTCTAATAACCTCTTTTCTTTCAAATGCTCCCAACCTCGGCTGTTTTATTATGGCAATGAGAACTAGACAAATACACCAGAATCTCTGGGAGGTCTCAGATGAGACAGTGAACGGAAGTATATATCCACAGCACACCTGCTTGCATTAGACTGTTTGCATCCACCTTTCTGTTTATTTGTTCATTCAAACAAGATTAAGTGAGCAGCTACTATTGGCCAGGCCCTGTCCTGTGTGTGTGCTATAACACATACTCGACATATGGACATGTCCACATAGTCCCTCAGAGCAGAGGAGCAATGAACACAGGTGCCCACGAGATCATTTCAGATAGAAGTGCTAAAAGGTGAATAAATAAGGGGGTGCGGTGAGCATACTCAGGCAGCCATACCATGAGAAGTCAGGGCTGGATTACAGGGGAGGTATTGTTTGAGATCTGAGTGATAAGTTATTACCAGCTGTCAAAATCTCAGGGTGGACTGCAACAGAGGAGAAGGTCCTGAAGTGGGTGTGAGCTTGGGTCATTCTCAATCATCATCCAGATGAACGTATGAGGGACCTTCTACCCACTAGACAGATGGGGATACT